GTCTTCCCCCGAACATAACGCACCCTGAAAATGAAAGTATACAAGCTATGTTCCGGCCAGATACCGCCAAAATGCGGGTGCGTTGTGTTCGGGGGAAGAGGGTACTAGGCGCGCCCAGGTGCCCGCATGTGTGCGCTGGCGGACTGGCCGACGACAGAGATTTGGCGGTGGAAGTGTAGCGCGGAGGGAAAGAGGGAAAGCCGGCATGACGACCGGGGCCAGGTACCGCATACTCGAGCGGCTCATTTAGGACCGTCGATCATCGAAGATCAGCGGCCGAAAAATCTGCCCAGCAAGTGGGACCTCGCCGGCGGGGCTGAGAGAGCGACGTGTGTGTGAGTCCGGCGGGGAGTGGCGCGACTGGGCAGTGAGGGAACTGAGCGGAGCCACTGGGTGGGAGCGCGGAGGTGGAGGAGGTGCTGAGGGCGTGAACACAGCGGTCCGCGGAGTTGGGCGTGTACACCACGCGCGGGTAACCGGCGGGAAAGGACCAGGCGAGGAGGAGGCGTCGCGGTGGGAAGGCCGTGAGAGGGTGGGATCGAGCGCAGCCGGAGAGTGACGACAGCTGCTGCTTGCGGGCTCTCGTCCCACGGGAAACGGGGGGAGAGAGAGAGAGAGAGAGAGAGAGAGAGAGAGAGAGAGAGAGAGAAGGCGCGGGAGCGGGGAGAGCGCTGTCAGTCAGCCTGGGGGGGTGGCGTTTGCGGCACCTGCGCCGCAATCAGCAGCGCGGCTAGTCGGAGCTGCGAGCAAGAGAGAGGGAGCAGAGGTGGGGGGAGGGAAGCTGCTGGAGGGGAAGCTTGTGTGTGTGGGTTTGTCCGCGTGCCGGCGAAAGACTTACGCGTGCGTCACGGCCGGGCGCGTTGGGAGGCGGCGCTTGTATTCGTCTCTCTAGGAGAGTTCCAGTCGTCGAGGGAAGGGGAGCTGAGAGGGCAGCTCTCTCTCTCTCTCTCCCCATTCTCTTCCCCGTCGTCCTTGACAAGAAAAACCTACAGGGTACACCCAGAGAGAGAGAGAGAGAGAGAGAGAGAGAGAGAGAGAGAGAGAGAGAGAGAGAGGGTTTCGGCGGCGTGTTGTGGAAGAGGTGGAAGGGGAGGTGGCCCTTGGAAAGTGAGGGAAGATGGCGGTGACGGTGGGGCTGGCGCGGCTATGGCAGCCACAGGAAGAAGGAGCGCGGGAAATATGCACCCTGCTACACGAGTATCAGCAGCCCGGCGTGGATCAGAATCGCATATTCATGCAGCTCACACGATGTAGCACCTTCCCCGATTTCAATAATTACCTCACTTTCGTGTTCTGCCGTGCAGAGGTCAGTAGAGAACTCTTCTTTTGTGCGTTCCTTGCTCTTGTTTCCCACTTTTATTTTTATGTGTCTCTTCCCTCCTTGCATATCAACTTGTCCCCCCGTCCTCTTATCCCTCCCTCCTTCCCGTTGCTGCTCCCACTCGGTCTTCTTCTTCTCTCTCCTGCCAGTCCTACTCTGCACTCTTCGCCTGTAATCTCTCTCTCTCTCTCTCTCTCTCTCTCTCGCTTTCTCTCTGGCGCTCGTTTCTCGCTTCACAGTGTTTTCATGTCGCTTATGCCTACTCGTTAGCTCCGCTCCTCACAATTTTTCCCCTTCTCCTTACTTCGCGCCCCCCCCGCCCTCCACCCCCCCCCCCCCCCC